CTCTATGAGTGTGGCCACAGTGAGATAAAGGGGTGAGGATGATGTGGCTGCAAAAGCAGAGGAACCAGAAGATGCAAAAGGAATCACATTGGAAAGATGCTTCAATATAAGCTCCCATTTCAGTTATCCCAACCACTTGTATCAATGAGTGTTCTAGTGGAACTGAAGGCAAAATTGAGATGCCATTTCTGGGGTTATCATAGAGGTATTCACCCACATAGGGATGATGATAAGCAACTGGAATTCCCCATGATGCGAGGTAAGGACGTGGACCGATTCCACTTAACAGCAACAACTGAGGACTTCCAATGGCACCAGCACAGAGTATAACCTCACCGTGTTCCCTCACCATCGCATGGTGATATCCTCCCATTTGGTCACGATAAACCAAGCCAATTGCCGACTGTCTGGACTCTGAACTTGTAGAAGAAGATGCCAACAATACCCTCTCAACACTTGCGTAAATGCCAACTCTAATATTCGAAGCTTTGGCATAACTAAGAAGATCAACAGCACTATGTCTTCTCCCTAGACTATCAAAAGTGGAACCACCAATCTTAGTCCCCACGACATGATCCAAATTGAACCCATTATAGGGATCAATGCCAGCCTCCAACAAGCTGTCTCTAACCGCAGATTGCCAGTTCCTTAACTCAGGCCTAAACACAATTGCTCCCTCAACCCACTGATAAGACTGATTCACAACTCTAAGATCCCAATTGAAACCCGAATTCTGATAAAAATCTTCATCAGCTCGGCTATAAAAGCCGGCATTAATGACACTACTGCCTCCAAGAACGCGGCCTCTGGCATTTGGGATGCCATCCTCAGATGTGAAAGCTTGGGCGGGAGAGTCGAATGTATCAGTTTCCATTAGTGTAGTCAAGAAGCCTTCTTGGGTCATCAAGTTTGGTCTGCCATAGGGAACTCCACCGCGTTCCAGTACAAGTACTCGGTAAGATCGCGATAATGTCGCTGCCAACGGACACCCTGCAGTGCCTCCTCCTACAATTATGTAGTCATAGTAGTCTTCTGATGGCAACTCCGTAGCGTTTACAACAAACTGCAAGAAATTTGGACCTGTACAGAAGATCAAACAAGAAGCAAATTCAATTGGGTTTTGGAGTTAAGACCAAGGACCTTCTTCTGTTTTCTTTTCTTTCATTTTCCAAAAACCCAAAAATGCTTTCTGTAGATTCAAGTAGAAGTAAAAGGGGTTTAAGAGAAAATGTAGAAAACTCAATTGGGTTTCGGAGTTTCGACCAAGAATCTTCTTCTGTTTTCTTTTCTAACGTTTTCCCACAACACAAAAAGGCCTTCTAAGGATTCAACTAGAAACAAAAGGGTTCAAGGGGAAATGTAGCAAAACCTTTTTACAAACAAGAAAATTAGACACGATAAAATCAAGAAAAGCGAGAAACATAAATGGGTTTGAGCATTACAGATAGAAGACATAAACTCCGGTTGGAATTATTCAAGATTCCCAAACTTCCAATAATAAACATCAGTATTACCTCTCGTTTTCTCTGTCACAAAACAGACAAAGAAAAGGCCAAAAAAAGAAAGAAAAAAAAAAAGGCTTTGCGGGAGAAACCAAGAAAAGACGTTCATTAAACTCACCGCGTGGAAATTGTGGCCTTGCACGAGAAAGAACCCCACAAAGGAGCACCAAGAACCCAACGTGTAGCTGCAACAAGCAAACTGG